ATCTCTCATATTTCCTTGACATCAAATTCTACAAGAGTGGTAGAAGTTTCAAATGCAAGATTCGAACCTAAATTTGACTCCAGCTAAGACCAGATTGCAACTGTCGAAAGATTCAGATGAAGATGATGTCGACCCAACCCAATATAGAAGACTTATTGGGTCACTTCGGTACCTTTGTCACACAAGGCCTGGCTTAGCATACAGTGTAGGTATGATAAATAGATTCATGCAGAAGCCAAAGGTATCACACCTAGAAACAACGAAGAGGATATGGGGTATCTGAAAGGGACTCTCGACTAAGGCATTTTATTTCTTGCAGCTGATAAAGGAAAAAAAATGCAAGCTAGTGGGATATACTGACTCAAGTTGGTGTAGTGATGCTGAAGATAGAAAATCTACAGCTGGCTATATGTTTATATTAGGTGGTGCGCCAGTTGCTTGAAGTTCGAGAAAGGAGACATTAATGGAATTGTCATCATGTGAAGCAGAATATATAGTTGCTTTTCTTTGTGCATGCCAAGAAACATAGATGGTGAACCTGGTCGAAGAGACCACAACAAAGAGTCATTGAGCAATTACCATGAAGATCGACATCATGTCATCTATCATCTTAGCGAAGAATCCAATAGCGCACGGTCGAAGCATGCACATCGAAATGAGGTTCCATTATCTCTGAGAGTAGGTAGCAGAAGGGAAGATGAACTTGGAACACTGCAGAACTGAGAATTAGATTAAAGACATCATGACAAAGGGAGTGCTAGTTGAAGTGTTCAAGAAGTTAAGGTCTATGATAAATATAGATAGTTTAGACACAGTAAATTAGGTGGTGTGTTAAATATGGAATTCATTATTTTAAAAAGATTAAATTTGATTTAGAATGTTCAGATTTAATTTAGAAAGATTAGATTAGATATTTTTGGGCTTTTATAGTTTGAGATTTAACTTGAGATGCAAGTTAACCTAAATTTGTAAATATGGAGGAACCTTTATCATTGTAATTATCAAGTTTGATAATCACGGTATTGCAGTTGCAAAGTGATAATAAAATTTCACAGTTGTGGGCAGAGAGATACTTTGCAGTTCATACTCATCTTTTTTAAACGTGTTCTTGTTTTTTGTTCATTGTCATTACATACCTATCTTGGATCAAAATTGAAAAGAATTCACCATAGGTCGCGGTTGAATTCCAACATTCAAAAATACCGGAATTTTTGAAATATGTCTAGTTTTACAGGAAATTTTGATTATTTGCTGGAAATTTTCGAATATTACATTTTTTTTATCACAATAAATACAAAAGTACTGTCAATTTGAAAATTTCGATATATACATACTGAAACTTTTGAAATTTCTAGGGGAGACATGTCATATTTTATCAAAAATTGTAAAATTTCTAGGAATTACAACAAAATTCGAGAAATTGTGAAATTTTCGAGAATTACAGCAAAATTTCGAAAATTGTGGAATTTCTAGTATTTGCCATAAAATTCTGGAAATTGTGAAATTTCCAGTATGTAGTGAGTGAAAACTGTTCATTTTTTATTGCCTTAATTGTTCTAGAATGATTGATTCGATAAAAAAGCTACACGATAAAATATATGCATATAATAAAAATTATGCTATATACAAGAATACAAAACAAATTATGATGACTTCCTAACTTCATCTTCCCGGAGCCTAATGCGTCCTACATATGTTGATTCCCATACTTTTCATATTCAGTACAATACTGTCTCCAACAATAAACGACGGGAGGAAATGTACAATCAGGTTTCAACTTTACCTGACTACAAGAAAAGATGTTATTAGCTTGAGGTATTTGCTAGGGGTAAAGCCCCTCACTAAAAAAAAAAACTTGCTTGGGGTTAAACCCATCGCAATGCATAAAATAGAAAGCAAAAAAATATAAAACAATTCCTAGGGGATACCCCTCGCAAAGAAGGAGGGAAAATATTTTGAAGTTTGAAACTTGCATTTGCTAGAGGTCAAAGCCAAAATAGGTTGACAATGATTTCAATTTACGAGGGGACAACCCCTCATAAATTTATGAAATGCCTTTTGCGAGGGGCTTCCCCTCACCATTGTAAAGGCTTTAGTCAAATCAAACTGAAAAAGCATTTATTCTTGCGTAAAGAGCCTGATACGTGACAGAAAGTGGACTGCAACATGTTATTACTGGCTAGGGGCAGCCCCTCACAAATGTTATCCTCATTCATTGTGTCGGGTAGCCCATCGCTAATTGCGTACACGTGCTTCACATGCAGTTATGCATCTGACACATTAATATTTAGCTAGGGATGACCCCTCGCAAAATATGACTGTTAGCATACGCGTGGGGTTCCCCCTCACAAATTGCACTATTAAAACCCCATATTTGTCTCATTCCATACACTGATCTCTCTCAACTTTTTTCTTGTTGTGTCTTATGTTTCTTCCACCCTTCTTCTTCCGTCTTTCATTTTAACATCTTCATCAAAGCTCTAACTTTTTTCTTTTAAATATTCTACAAATATTAGGTAAATATTTTTGCTATATTATAATTTCTTTGTTGCATGTATTTTGTAATTAATTTTATTTATTAGATTTATCAATTAATTGTTTTATTTATTTTTTGTGTTGCATGTATACAATTGATCATATAAAAGTCTCAAATTTCATCTAAGAGGAGCTTCAAATTTAAGGGAGCATCAAATGGTACATATATTTTTTCTCAAGATTTTAGGTGTAATTGATATTAATATATGTTGATTTTGGTGTGATGCTGGTATAATAAAATATATATTATTGTTTATTTCAAAATTTATGTATATATTTTTAATAATATATTTTTGACAATATTATTTTTATTTCTTATATTTTTTAGATTTATATTATAATATTTTAAAAATATTTGTTAGAAATTTTTTGGAAAAAACAATTAAATATTGTTTGTTTATGTTATTTAGTGTATAAAATTTATGTATATGTTGTTTATATTATTTATATTATTAAAAAAAAGATTATATATTAAATATTTTAGAAAAAAATAATAGTATAGATTAAATATTGTTTAAAATTGATAATATTAAATAAGGTTTTAAATAGATTATATATTAAATATATTTATAAAACAGATTTTAAAATAGATTATAAAACAGATTTATTAAAATATTTATAAAAACAGATTATAAAACAGATTTATTAAAATTTTTGTAAAACAGATTTTAAAAATCACATTATATATTAAATAATGTTTTAAAAACAGATTTTATTAATATATTTATAAAAAATATTGTTTAAAAAATAGATTATATATTAAACATATTACTGAAAATAGTATTGTATATTAAATATTGTTTAAAAAACAGAATATATATTAAATGTTTAAAAAGCTGATTGTATATTAAATATATTTTTATAAAAAAGTATTTATAAAATTAATTTTGGAAACATATTATATATATATTTTTAGTAAAAGAATAGGTTATATATTAATTTACACTTTTATTTAAAAAGTATGAGTTAAATCATAAAAATATATAATTTGTAATATATTTAAGTAATATGCACTTTTTATATAAAGTATATAATTTGTAATATATAGACTTTTTATTTAGAAAGTATACATTTTTTAAAATATTAATATATTTATAGAAAATATGAATTAAATCATATAAGTATATATTTTATAAATTAAAATATATTATAAAGCATGTAAATTTATAGAAACGTATTATATAATATGTTATATATTTTATTGTCTATAAATTAGTAAAATTAGTTTAAGAAACATATTACATATATTTATAAGAGAATAGATTATATATATTCATATACACTTTTTATTTAGAAATTATGTAATATATTTTGGTAATATATTTATTAAAAATATGAATCAATCATAAAAGTATATAATTTGTAAGTTATTCTATTTTGAAAACATTAATAATGTATTAAACATATGCATTAAAAAATATAGATTTATTTTAAGAAAAAAAGTATATCTTAGATTTATATGGTATGTTAGTTAGATCAATATAGTCATATATTTGTTGATAGATCAATTCTTTTTTTCTTAAATTTAAATTTAAACACGAACAACATTACACATGCATAATATGGAGTTATCAGTTCTATCGTAGTTGGGTGTATGATAGAACGTATCCAGGAAGATGTGGGCTTAAACCACATTTTAAAGGAGTTGCTACATTTCTTACATATGTGTTTGCTCAAGAATGTTGTCGAAGAGGAGGGGTAAGATGCCATGTGTTTAAAGTGTGGTTGTAGAAATATAATTAGTGACCCAAATGAAGTGAAACGTCACTTGGAGAAAGATGGTTTTAAGCCAAATTATTGGGTGTGGTATTCTAATGGAAAAATACTGTCAGAGATGAATAGAGAGGCTTTAAGAAGTCAAACACATATTGGAGTTAAGATAGATAGAGAGGCATCAAGCAGTAAACCACATTTACAAGACCAAGAACAATTTAATCTCATAGATGATATGGTTGGTGATGCATTAGAGGTGAATGTGACTTATGATCAACCTCAAGATTTTGATGCAAATGAGCTCTCGAACGAGGAAGCGCAAAAGTTTTATCAATTGTTGAAAGAAATAAATATATCATTGTTTGAGGGGTTTTCTGACTCCATGTTATCCATGTGTGTGAGACTCTTGGCTGGGAAATCAAATTAGAATGTTCCTGATCAGTGTTTGGAATTCTTTGCTAAAGTGATGTTGGATGCGACTCTCGTGAAAGAAAACATGCCTACAAGTTATTATAATGCAAAGAGAATGGTGTCGAAGTTGGGATTAAAAGTGAAAAAGATTGATTGTTGCATTGGAGGTTGTATGTTGTTTTATGATAATGAGTTTGGTACAAATGATGGGGGATTGGAGAAATGTAAGTTTTATTAGAGTCCGAGGTATTTAGTTCGCTAGTAAAGGCGTTGACCGAAAGAAAAAATGAGTTGCAGTTAAGTCCATGTTCTATCTGCCAATAATTCATAGATTGCAAAGAATGTTTGCGTCAATTCATAGTGTAAGCCAAATGACATGGCATCATACAAATTCTAATAGTTCAGGCATGATGCGATATCCATCTGATGGCGAGGCATGGAAACACTTTGATAGAGTACATACAGATTTTGTAGCAGAACCCAGAAATGTCAGGCTTGGATTATGCTCAGATGGTTTTACTCCTTATATCATATCGTCAACAATTGCCTATTATTGTTGGCCAATTATTTTTATCCCGTACAATATCCCTCCTGAGATGTGCATGACAAAACCTTACATGTTTTTGACATGCCTCGTTCAAGGACCATCAATTCCAAAAGCGGGAATAAATATTTATTTGCAACCTTTAATTGATGATTTGAAGAGGTTGTGGATTGGAGAATGGACTTATGATGTGTCTCGTAAACAAAACTTTAATATGCGAGCTGCTTTTATGTGGACAATTAATGACTTTCCTGCATATGTCATGTTGGCTGGTTAAAGTATGCATGGAAAAATGGGATGTCCGCATTGCATGAAACAGACAAAAGAGTTTACTTTGTAAATGGGTGGGAAAAGTCTGTGGTTTGACTGTCACCGTAGATTCTTACTTATGAACCATGTTTTTAGAAAAAATAAGAATGCTTTTAGAAAAGGAATAAAAGTAATAGATCTTTCTCCCCCTCGTCTGTCATCGACTGGAGTATGGAATAGTGTTTGTGACCTACGAAAATTCATAGATAATGGTAAAGCATGTAGAATTCAAGGATATGGGAACACTCACAATTGGACAAAAAGAAGTATTATTTGGGACCTCCCATATTGGAAGGTGTAATACCCCAAATTTTACCCTTATATTTAGTCAGTCATTTCGCATAGCATCTCATCTGTGCATCTGCTAACCACTAACCAGTCATAAAGTGCGTTTTGTTTTGCAGGAACTACCCCAGGGGCGTTTTGGTCATTTTGAAGCACAATTCGTGATTTTGGGCCCATTGAGTTTTTATTCCTGAGGCATTTATTTACGTGGGTTTGATTATGTTAAGATATCAATTTGGGTTGGAAAATCTGATCTGTGGAACAGGGTTTTAACAAGAAATCATTCTTCTATCTTCCAGTTCATTTTAGAGGAAAAACAGTGAAAATTTCGACTGATTAATGGAACTTATTCATGTTGAAGGTATTAAGCTTATTATGCAAGATTGGACCGGATTAATTCAAGGATATTTGACTAGTGAGGTTTAATCGGATTTGCAAATTTAAATCATGGAAAAGAAATTGGGAAATGATTTTAATAGAATATGTGAATTTTATTCATAATATTTTATTATTATTATTACAATTTATAAAGTGAATTTGGATAGAAATGTGAAGTTTATTCATAATATTTTGTCATGATCTACAAAGAGGAAATAATTTGGATAAAGAATGTTATTGAATTTATTCATAATATTTTTTGTTACAAGTTACAAAAGAATTGTATACCCTAAAAATCCTAAGTCCTAAACATCCATAAGTGTTCTTCATGATGTTCATCCCTTGGACATTTCTCCATGCTCCTCCGATTAACCTGCACAAAAAGAAACGAAGACACAACACAAACAAAGTAGGAATGGGTTAGAATTTGTTTTCGACACTCTCAGAACAGCGTCATCATCGAGTGCCGGGAGTGGCACAACCGAAGTTGCGTCCTACCCCCGTTACCGATCCACGCCGTTGGCGTCAGATCAGGTAACACCTGTTCTTATCATTACGGGAACGTCCGAGAGATAGAAGTGATAAAAGAAGCGGGACTGATTCGCTTTTGCCGCAATTGGATTTCCAAACTGATACGAGAGTAAGGCAACATAGTCAATCTGGATTCAGACCCGGATGCCGGCAGGTCTGAATCACTTTGTGTTCAAAGTTTTTTCCACACCTGAAATTCCACAACAGCATCATTACCAGATTCAGAATTCAGAATTCAAAACCAAAGCAATGCATAAGCTGCATCAACTCTGCAACACATAAGTGAGCCCATAAAAATCAAGTTCAAACAGAACAGAAAAATGAGACACAAAACAAGCTGCGTCCAATTGCATCGAACAAAGTATCAAAAAGGTTCAGCAACATCAGTTAAAGGCAAGTTCCAATTCGAACCAGTTCGAATGGCAAGTCACGAAAAACACTGAATTGCAGCAGACAACAACACAAAATCGCAGCACAGAGTCATAGCACAAATCACACCAGAAGGAACAAGGATAAGCTCACGTAATCGCATCAGTTCAGAAAACAAGTTCAGTTCAAGAATCCAACTCCATTGCACCAAAATTGGATTACAAAACAAATAAATTGGAACTCGCCTCGAACAAAACCCCAACTGGTCAACATCTGAAAAGAATCAATAACCAAACTGCATCAGAACAGCACCAATCATATCACGAAATCAAGTGCAATATGGTTCGAATCAAAGACTAAAATGCCAAGTTGAGATGGATGTGAATGTTTGCAAAATCCAAAACACTAAAAGTGTCAGGGTTCTGACAAGGTATTACAGCCTATATCAGAATCAACAACACCAAGCTGATGTGTTTAATCACGCCCTCAGAAAACTCATCACTGGGCGGAGACTCGAGTTGCCGGGAGGGAAACAATTAGAGTGTCTCCAGCTCCCAACCAAGCGTCGAAAATAAGGACCAATCTCGAAGACAAGCCAACAATCAGTGAGAGTAGAAACAAGAACGGTTCCCTCATCAGGCTCAGACAAGCTGTCATCATCGCCGCGTAACCTTCCCGGCAATTCTGACTCGACCAAAGTACCAGCTCTCTCTGAAAGAAGAAGAGGAAAAGAATCCATATCTGCAACAAAGCCAGAAACCTACATCAGAAGAACCAATTGGATACCAGTTAAATCCACATCTGAACAATTTCCAAATCCAAATACGGGTTATCAAAGTAAACCGCAAATATCCAGACAAAGTTCGGTTACGATTCCCAAAAGGGGAAGAAATCCCAATCAGAATCCAATCATCACAAGATACGAATAAAATCAAGCCTTATCAGTAAAATATAACGCAAATCCATTGTTAACAAAGGCCCAAAAGATAAATCAGAGAGATATAAAAGGGACAATCTCACCATGGTAAAAACCCTAACGGGTAGCCGCGAGAGAGAGACGAACCACAACCGCAAACCAAACCCTAACGGCCGCGACATCAGAAGAAGAAGAAGTTTTCAACCAAAACCATCACAAGACTTTAACTCGTTCACACGAAAGACCGCCGGCGCCGTTTAACCAAACGACGGGCAATCAACCGCCTCGGGTCTCAGAGAACTCATCATCGACCAATATCACCATTGATCATCCATAAAAACGCCAAAGCCTGTTAAACCCAGACACGAGGAGATTCTCGGTGTCATCATCGTCGTCATCCCGCCGTGAAACCAGAAATGTAAGCCATCACTTGGTTAACAATTTGTTTTGTTCTGTTTTCAGGAAAAAGCGTAAATAGAAGCCATAAATGGAGAAGAAGAACGAGCGAAATCGCGACGAGAGTGCGAGCGAGAGAGAATCAAGAGAGAAGAAGAAGAATTGCAAGCGGCGCCGCGGAAAGGCGTTTAGGGTTATGAAACCCTAAAAAGCTTTTGATTACAATTACTTCCACCGGGTTGGGTCCGGATGTGATGACCGGCCCAACCCTTTTATTTTTTAACTATTTTTTTCTTTTCTTTTTTTTATATAATTAATTAAGTAAATTATTAAACTTTTTTTTAAAAAACTAATATTTAGGTTTTTATATAAAATAATAATTTAAAAAAAAACATTTTTAAAAGATTAAAACATTTTTAAAATATTAAAATTAAAACATTTTTTAATAATTAGAGTCAAATTTTTTTTAAACTAAAACTAAGCCCCTTTTTTTAAAACCAAGAGAAAATATTTTTTTAAAATTAAAATCTTCCTTCTATTTATTTATTTATTATCAAGTAAAAAAAATTAAGCTTAGATTCATGTTAAAGTTCTCATAAAATAAGAAACCTCAAAAAAATGTCCCATAGCTTCATGCTTCTGTTTTCATAATTTTGTTTACTAACCTAATTCGTTCACTGTGCAACTTACCATGTTGTTTCTTTATGTTTGCGTTCTTAAAATTGAGTTGTATCATATTATTGTAACTGTTCCTCCTATGTAACCCCGCGAATCTAATAATCGCGCTTTAAATTTCTGCCTTTAAATTTCTGTTTGTATGGCTTTAATTTCGTCATTATTCCCTGTTTGCAATTCAGTTATCTCACACATTCATCTATTATCCTGTCACACTACACACTTCCGAAGGGATTAGGTCTAGCTTTTGGTCGCCGCACCAATAGTCCTCAACTTCAACCCTTACACCTTTTCAACCCTAAATTTTCACAAATGCCTCGCCGCAGGCAAGATTACAATTTTACCCCTAGCATTAGGTCAAAGAGCCGCCGCGCTCATTTTAGGGTTTCCCGCCGTGGAATCCCTAATTTAACCCTAATTCACTTAACAATTCAATGTAGAGATTTGGAGTTTCTACACTCCATGTAAGCGTGTCCTTAAGATGCGTTTATTCCCCTGGAGACCTTGACCACAGTCGAGAAGTCTCTAACCTCCCTTTTGAGGGGAACTACGATTACTCTGATTCCACTCCCGTAAGGATACGTAGGCACAAGATGCGATGTCTTGCCGAGTAAACTTAGAACTAACCCCTTAGGTCTTCTTTCTCATTCTTAATCCTTTGTACATATACCTTAAGCAAATAAATAAAGCAGATAGTAAACATTTGAACAAAAGGTTCCTGTAGAGTACTACAGAAGTTTAGGGTGCTAATACCTTCCCTAAATTTAACCAACCCCCGAACCCTAGATCTTTACCCGCATTGTGTTTACGATGCAAAATAGGTTTTCCCTTTTTGACCTTTTCCTTCGGATAAATCAAAGAGCGGTTGTGAATTGAATTGCGATTCAAACTAATTAATAGTTTGTGATCCTATTTCCACCGCAACAGAAAATGGCGACTTCACTGGGGAACTTTCTAAACTTTTGAGGGTTATCCCTAACTTGTTCATGTTTACTACTATCTGTGTTATTCATTTGCATGTATATATTTATGCTCTGACTGGGGGACTGTTCCTTGTGCTGTGAGATAAGTCCTACACCCGGACTAGTGACATTATTATAGGATGGGGATATATTCGATGAGGCTTATCGGGAGTTGAATCCCGACTAAGTTGATTCGAGAATCACCGCTCAGTTGAGACCTTTTCGAAAATGGTTCGGTTGATCGAGTATAATCGTGAAAACTTTTTCCATGGTCGATTGGAGTCTGTGATATTAAGGACCGTAGTACCTTAACACCACCTTGGCCTTACTTAGGACGTAGTGCGGGAACTATGTGGGAGTAATCCTACAATGGTTGCTACGTGATACTACACTCAAAAGAGGTTCTCTTGAGAATATTATTAACCCTCGAGTCAATCGGAAGGTTGATAATATCCG